CAAGGAAACGTCCCTGAACTGAGAAAGGTGGTGATAAATCAACCGTGAAGCTGTGATAACGTATTGACCAAATGTTTTTATATAACATAATGACCAAATGTTTGTATGTAACGTAATGACCAAATGTAGACCACCAAAATATTTTTCATCTAACTGCCATTTAATGTTGCCTATTATTTCGCCCCATTTTGCTTTGAATTTATTTATTAAATGTCTGTTAAATTAAATATTATTGAACCTATCAACTGATTGAACTATTACCAAACTTTCTATTACTAGACTTTGTATTACTGGATTTTGTATTTTTTAACATTTATCATTGAAATTATTTTCATTTTTATTTCTATTACCGAACTTTCCATCACTGAACTTTATGTTACTAACTTAAAATGACTGAACTTTCTGTTAGTGAGTTTTCTCAATAAAATCTATTAGGAGGATACCGGTCAGTGCCGGTCTTTCTACCTGTCCATCTATCTATCAAAGTTTCAATCTATGTATCAAAGCCTCCATCTATCTCTATTCATCCATCTATCCATCCATCTATCCCTTTTCCATCAATCTATATTGTTGTACCCAGGTTGTGGTGTAGGAATAAATTCCTTCTACCACTACTAGTGTAGTGTGGGGGGGGGGGGGAAGGGTTCTTGCCAGAGATATCCTGGCATCCCAGATGTCACAGATGCCAGATAGATGCCAGAGACATCCTGCCGTCCCAGATGTCTCTCACGCCGGATGCCAGAGACATCCTTGCATCAGGCGAAGAAGCTTCCGCCAGATGCTATCTGAAGCTGTGACCATGTCTCAGACCGTCCCAACTGCCTCTTCCGATCACGGCGGGCGACACACAGCTCGTAGGGGCCTCGTAGGGGCCTCGTAGCCTGGTGGATAGCGCGCAGGACTCGTAATTCTGTGGCGCGGGTTCGATTCCCGCACGAGGCAGAAACAAATGGGCAAAGTTTCTTTCACCCTAAGTGCCCCTGTTACCTAGCAGTAAATAGGTACCTGGGAGTTAGTCAGCTGTCACGGGCTGCTTCCTGGGGTGTGGGTGTGTGGTGTGGAAAAAAAAGTAGCTAGTAAACAGTTGATTGACAGTTGAGAGGCGGGCCGAAAGAGCAAAGCTCAACCCCCGCAAAAACACAACTAGTAAACACAGCTCCCGATGGCATCTGGCGGAAGCTTCTTAGCCGGCGCCATCCGGCGCCAGAATCATCCTGGCGCCGCAGATGTCTCTGGCAAGAACTGCCCACCACACACACACACTCTTTCATAAAACTACTTCCCTCGTCCAAATCCGTTTGAGAGAGATTTTCTTGATTTGTTCCTACACAACAGTGCCTAAATCTATCCATCCAATTATCCATCAATTTCTTCATCTATCCATCTACCCATGCATCTATCTGTATCATTCTATCCATCCACCTGTCCCCTCTATCCATGTAGCTTTCTATTCGTTCATACATTTATCTGTCTGTGCATCTATCCATCTAACTATCTATCCATCAATCTATCCGACCAACTATCTAACCATCAATCTATCCGCCTCTCTATTTGTCTATCCATGCATGCATGTATGTATCCATCTGTTCATCCATCTATTCATCCATCTATTTATCTGTGTATCCATCCATCTATCCATGCATATTTCCGTCCATCAATTCATCCAATATACTTTCAGATGGTTACGAGGATCAATGTCCCCGCGTCTCGGTCTCTGACCAGGTTTCCAGATTGATAGCATGGTCAACCAGGCTGTTGGACGCCACTGCACGCTCTCGGACATACGGGATCACAGCTCCGTTGATCAGGTACCCAAGTCGGGCAATTTTCAAGTTCCCACTTATACGCTGGCAGAGATCGTCTCTTTAGACCGAATTTTGAGCTATTGTACTTTGTAAAAATACACAAAAATACACAAAAATACAGCAGAAATACACAAAAATACACAATACACAAAAATACTGTCAAGTAGTCATCGTTTTAACATAGTGAAGTTTTCCCAAGGCTCGTGTATAATCATCTGCTGGGCAATTGATTTGCCTGTACAGATGTCCACCGACGGAACGTTTAGGTGTATGTGATATGATAATTGTTTCTTTGGTAATTTGATGATATGGTAAAAATTATAGATACAAGGACAAGGGTGGGGACCAGTTCAGGTCTCAAATGGGCGTTCGTGGGCTAGTGCTAGTACCAAAGCTTCGTCTATGGGCTAGTTCTAGTCCCAATGGGGCGCCCACTGACTATATAAGTGTGGAGAGTGTTCAGGTCAAGTAATAATGGTAGACCCATTGCTACACTCTCCATTTTTTCCCAACAACATTCGTCAAATTTTCCCTCCTTCACTTTTTTCTCTCTTCCATCGACTCTTCCCCTGCACCCCATCCCCTTAACTCCCTCTTCTCTGCGTCTCGAGACACTCTCTCTTCCCTCCCTTTCTTTTTCTCTTCTCACTGTTCCTTCTACGTAAAAATCACCTACGTTCCCCTTCAATTCTCCCTGTGCCTCCTCTCTCTTCCCTCCTGTTTGCCTCGAAGAAACATTTTCTAGGGGTTTTGTGCCTCCCATTTTTCACTGCTTGAAACTACTGTTATATATCCATAAAGCTTTCCTAAACAAATTTGTAATATGTTTTATATCATTCTACATCTATTCCAAGCTCATCTATACCTGTTCTTAATCATTCTATACTTGTTGTGTGCCTGTTTTTGACCTTTCTCTGCCTGCTGTATTCAGTTCTATACTTGACTATACACTAGTCTCTCTATTCCACTTCTATAGCTGTTGTAAACTATTACCTACAATTGTGTACCGTTACCTACTCGCTCTGAAATTATATGGATCTTTCTATACTTGTTTTATACACGGCGTGCCTCTTCCACAATGCCTGTCTGTTTCTGAAACGTAAGGCCTCACCTACATTTCCAACACAAAATACTTTCTATATCTCTAACATAAAGTGCCTTTTCCATTTCCAACACATAGTGCCTTCTATATCTCCAACACAAACTGCCTTCTCTCTCTCTCCCAAACGCATCTGTTTCCATCAGTCTATACATCTCTGTACTAAAATAGATGTATATTTCGAAACGTCTACAAACCCACCTTTTATTCGTACCCACGAGGCCCACCTGTCTCTCCCACCTCTGTTGCCAACGCCACAAATATACAAGTGTTTCACCAGCATAATTCTGTTCTTTCCACATCAACACATGGCTCTCTCTCTCTCTCCCCACTAATCCCCCGGCCTCCCCTCCAACCACTCCCTCATGGGCCCCTCCATAATCCCTACACTAACTCTCCTCCCGCCGTAACTCCCCCCTCCACTCACAAGCACCAATCCTCCATTCTTTTTACAACACAAAATTTGCTATCATTTCAGCACGAAAGAAACCGCTATATCCCCTACCTACCTCCCCTCTTCTCCCCTCTCTCTCTCTCTCTCTCTCTCTCTCTCTCTCTCTCTCTCTCTCTCTCTCTCTCTCTCTCTCTCTCTCTTTCTACCTACCTTTCCACTCACCCCCTCTCACCCCATCTACCTACCCTCTCATTCATATGATTCCTCTTCCCACCCGATCTATCTTCCCTATCACCCTACTTACAGTCCCTTAATCCCACCTACCTCCCCCCCCTCACATCATCTACCTCCCCTCTTACGCCATCTACATTCCCCTTACCTCACCCCCCTAATACTATCTACCCTCCCTTTCACCCCACTCACCTGCCTCCTCCCATCACCCCACCCCTCCCACCTCCACCTTCACTCCACCTACCTAAACTACAGCCACCAACCTGCAGTAATACTCACCAACAAAATCTATCTGTTGTAGTTGTATAACTCTTGTATCCTACACCTTGTGGCTTGTTCTCAGCTTGTAGTTCCCGAGCGCCATCTAACTATTGCTCTCCATTTCCACCCGTCACCAATTTACTCTTCCACTTCAACCACCACCATCCTCCATCTCAAGCACCGCAACCAACTTCCTCCGCAACCACCACTACCTTCCACTACCACCCTACACCTCCACTATCATCACCATGAGACGGAGAAATGTTCAGAAATCCTCGTACCCGTTCGGTCAACAAGTGGAATGAAATGACAGAAAATGCTGTGGAAGCCACCTCCACCCAGATCTTTAAGGCCAGATTCAGGAAAGAATTCGAACGTCAAAATTGCTACACAGTAACGCAACAGGTGCCACAAGGCTGTTAGGCGAGACGTAACGAGCTAGATCTGACTCCCTTGTAGACACTGATATGGAAGTACTAATAGGTAAGCGCCTTCTACCTCAGGCACCACCATCCTCCATCACTACCCTCCACCTCCATCATCACTACCATCCTCCATCACTACCCTCCACCTCCATCATCACCACCATCCTCCATCACTACCCTCCACCTCCATCATCACCACCAGCCTCCACAACTACCCTCCACCTCCATCATCACCACCACCCTCCACCACTACCCCTTCACCATACTCTACTTCCACCATCTTCCATCACCACCACCACCACCACTACTACCATTTACCACCATTCACAACTACCCTTCACCATCCTCCATCACCTCTACCACCACTACCCTTCACCACTACTCACCACTCTCCCCCCCCCCACTTTCACTACTCTGTACCTCCTGCACCACCAGACCCTCCACCAACACCACTACCTCCAGCTCCACCACTCCTCCACTATCCTCTACTACCACCATTCTCTCCACCGATACTTTCCAAACTACAACCCTCCACCACCACCCTACATCACCACCACACCCCAATATCCACCACAATCCTCCCCACCACCTTCTTCCCCACTCACCACTACTCTCTTCCACCACCACCCTTCAACACTCCCACTACCACAATCTCTCCAACATTCCCACTGTCAAAATCTCTCCAGCACACCGACAATCCCCATCTCTGCAACAATCCCACAATCACCATCTCTCCAGCACTCCTTCTTTCACCCCTCTCCTGAAAGCTCTATCACCAGGTTAAACTAAACTACTAATAGCATCACCATAACTTGTTCTTCAAGAATCCAAGCAACACAATCATCACTGCTATCCTCGCAATCATCACTGCTATCCTCACAATCATCACTGCTATCCTCGCAATCATCACTGCTATCCTCACAATCATGACTAATATCTTCACAATCATCACTACTATCCCCACTATCATCACTACTATCTTCACAATCATCACTGTTATCCTCACAATCATCACTACTATCCTCACAATCATTGGTATCCACACAATCATCACTGCTATCCTCACAATCTTCACTGTTATCCTCACAATCATCACTACTATCCTCACAATCATTGGTATCCTCACAATCATCACTGCTATCCTCACAATCTTCACTGCTATCCTCACAATCATCACTATCCTCACAATCATCACTGCTATCCTCACAATAATCACTTATGCTCATAATCATCACTTATCCTCACAATCTTCACTGTTATCCTCACAATCATCACTACTATCCTCACAATCATCACTACTACCCGTGTCTCCCTTCGTAAAACCGGGCAGAAACACCTGAGGGTTGATACCACATCCAACACAAACCATCATCAATACCGCATCATTGATGCCACTTGCCCACATCAAACCAGTTGCAAGGTTAGGTTAGACAATGTAAAGGATTGCCATTGGAAATTTTTAATAATTATTCGTTCAATACCTTGAATAACTTATATGTTAGGCTAATTGTGGAGTACGTAGCGTAAACCTGGAGCTGATATCTCGTTGGTTAGAAAACGAAGCTGGAAAAAGTCAAAAGATATGCCACTTGGATAATCCCGGAACTGTTGTATGCGAGACATGATCTCCACATACGAAATACTTACGAAGGTTAACAAAGCCATCATAGGCGCACTTTCTAGAAGAGGAACACTAATAAGAGTACTCGAATGAGCCATTGAGAAATTCAAACGATATTTTAGTGTCATTTCACTTAATAGTTTCCTAGGTAGATATGAAAGAGCAAAAAAGGTTTAGAAACTTTTACACTAGTCCATAAATTATTGTAAGGGGGAACGCAAGAGATGAAGCTCGGTGCCTGCAGCACAACTAGGCGAATACAACTTTTTAAGAATACACACAGTGATTAAAACCAGTTGAACATTTCATTGTAAATATTAATATGAATAAACTAAACAAAAGAGAAATATATCATTGCATGACACTGCAAACTCTGTTCTAAACGCCGTAGAGAGTTAAAGGTCGACCCTGCCAAGCACACCATGGTGAGTACACCCAGGTGAGTACACCCAGGTGAGTACACCCAGGTGAGTACACCCAGGTGAGTACACCCAGGGGAGTACATCCAGGGGAGAACACCCAGGTGAGAACACCTTGGTGAGTGCCCAAACAGAACCACCCCACCAACCCACCCACCCACACACAAGCAAACACACACACACACACACACACACACACACACACACACACACACACACACACACACACACACACACACACACACACACACACACAAAGCTACGTGTGTGGAAAGGCTAAGGGAGCTGAACCTCACAACCCTAGAAAACAGAAGAATCAGGGAAGACATGATAACCACCTACAAAATTCTCAGGGGAATTGACAGGATGGACACAGACAAACTCTTTAGCACGGGTGGGACACGAACAAGGGGACACAGGTGGAAACTTAGTACCCAGATGAGCCACACAGACGTTAGAAACAATTTTTTCAGTGTTAGGGTAGTTAACAAATGGAATGCATTAAGTAGTGTTGTGGTGGAGGCTGACTTCATACACAGTTTCAAATGTAGATATGATAGAGCCCAGTAGGCTCAGGAATCTGTACACCAGTTGATTGACAGTTGAGAGGCGGGACCAAAGAGCCAGAGCTCAATCCCTGCAAACACAACTAGGTGAGTACAAGCCCAGAAAAAGCAAGCACACACACACACACACACACACACACACACATACCTGCACACGTCACATTTTTCAACGGGAGCGCCCCCCCCCCCCCCCCACCAGAAAAAAAAGAGGTACGCGCTTGCATGTTCTGGTCGAGTAATTTGTCCACGTAATAACATCATTAAGCGGAGCCAGCACCAGGAGACCTTCGAGTGCCTCTTGGTAAGCATTAACTCACTACACACTCACATTACGCCTTCACTGCTCGCTCTCAACCCTCTTTATCAGCCTCTTAATGACGATACTCTAAATACCTGTTTGTCAAGAGGGGCGGGCTCTATTGCTTCTGACGCTGATTGGTTAATTGCGAGGCTTTAAAAAAAAAAGGGAATCGAGTAGAGGGATGATGTATGTTCCAGTAACGGGGGCAGAATTCTAGGCCGTCCTGCCAACGGTGAGTCTCCTTTTGGCTTGTTTTTATTGCTCCCGTTGGCATCATCGTGACTTTCTCCGTTATATTAAGTGCGTTGTTGTTAGAATTTTTGCTATTAAAATTCTAATAATTGCTATTAGAAATTTTGGATTATTATGATGATAAATTCTTGTATGACTCTTAAAACTATTTTTTATTGTTGTTAGAATGGTTTTATTGGTGTTGTAAAATGATTTTTTGCTGTTGTAATAGATTTACAACATCACTTTATTGGTGATGTTAAAGCAGTTTTTGTTGTTAAAAACTATATAATTGTTGTACAAATTTGTTTATCGGTTGCATTACTGGCGTGATTGTTGTAATTGTTCTTATTGCTTTTATTGTTATTGTTGATTTTATTAATTGTAGTTTTATTAGTAATATTAAATTTAGGATAAACACCCAAACTTATGTATCTGTGTTATTTAATTAGAGCCTTTTTGCACTCTACCTTTCGCACTCTGCCGAGTGTTTTATCACCGTCTGAGTATGTGTGTCTGGTATACTCTCAAGGGGCTGCATGTAATGTTCTCAACAGGATTCTATAGGAGCTTGCATTCTGTGTCTTGTTCAGAACATTGTATACAGCACCTTGAGAACATTGTACACAGCACATTGAGAACATTGCATACAACACCTTGAGAACATTGCATTCAACACCTTGACAACATTGCATAGAGCACCTTGAGAACATTGTATAGAGCACATTGAGTACATTGCATACAACACCTTGAGAATATTGTATACAGCACATTGAGTACATTGCATACAACACCTTGAGAACATTGTATACAGCACTTTGCAAACATTGTATTTAGAAAAGGATGAAGGCTGCATCCGAAATTTGGTCTTAATTCATTTTCACATAAATTGGGTCGTTCCTTCCCATCATTATAGCATTCCGGCATTAACTATGTTTCTTCACAGATTTAACTTTTAATATTATTATAATACTGCTATTACTGGCTTTATTATTGATAATATTGGTTTAATGATGCCCTTAGTTTCGAATTACTGGTTTTTGTTGACATTAAGTTTCAGGTATTACTTATTGATTTACCAAAAAAATTTTATTATTGTAATGGTTAATTTTTTAATAGTTTATTATTGTAATAGTTCATTTTTAATAGTTTAATTTTGAATAGTCATTTTTTTAATAATTGAAAATTTTAATTAGCATTTGTATCTTTTTATATATTCGTTGTATGTTATTTTTGCTGTCTCTCATTTGTTTTTTAATAATGCATTACTGCTGTTTAATTTACATATTTCTTTTTCTTTCATTTATTATTATTGAGATTAATATGTGGTTATTTATTTTTTATAGTTATTATTTAATATCCTCAATATTTCTTATATGTTATCACTAAGTACTATAAAATTTACAATACATTCCTTGCAGTACAATAAATGATTGAGGACTTATAATTCACCAGTTTAATAATTATTAAATTCGATAATTTAATTTTTATTCGGCAATACTTGCTCCTCTAATGCCAGGTAGACATTAATTAATCAGTTTAAAATTTTGGTTTAAAGGCGTAACTACTTTGATGGTTGTTCTGAGCTTGGGTTAGAAAAGAAGGGTGAGAGTAGGGGGGAGGAAGGGTGAGAGTAGAGGGGTGGAGAAGGTAAGGTATAAGGATCAGGCAAACATCTGATAATTCAAAATTTGAGGAAACATCGCTCCTGGATGTTGTTCGTCCTTCACCTCTACACCACCACCATCACCACCATCATACCACCACCACCACTATCACCACAACACCACCACCACTATCATACCACCACTACCATCACCACCACCATCACCACCACCACTACCATCACCACAACACCACAACTACCATCACCACAACACCACCACTACCATCACCACAACACCACCACTACCATCACCACAACACCACCACTACCATCACCACAACACCACCACTACCATCACCACAACACCTCTACCACCATCATACCACCACTACCATCACCACAACACCACCACTATCATCACCACAACACCTCTACCACCATCATACCACCACTACCATCACCACAACACCTCTACCACCATCATACCACCACTACCATCACCACAACACCACCACCACTATCATACCACCTCTACCATCACCACAACACCACCGCCACCACCATCATACCACCTCTACCATCACCACAACACCACCACCACCATCATACCACCAATACCATCAATACAACACCACCACCGTCATACCACCAATACCATCAATACAACACCACCACCATACCATAACCACCACTACACCACTACCACCACCACACCGCCATCACCCACACACCACCACCACCATACCCACCACGACAACCACCACCACACCACCACTTCCACACCACCACCACCATCATACCCAGTACTTCCATGACCACAATACCACCACCTTCACACCATAACCACCATCAACACTAAACCACGACTACCACACCACCACTACTAAAACAGTCACTAGGAGGGCCAGTGTCCTTAACGTGTATACCAAGCAAGGTGATGGAGAAGATCGTGAGGAAATCCTAGTAACACATCTGGAGAGAAGGGACTTCGTGACAACCCATCAACATGGGTTCAGGGAGGGTAAATCTTGCCTTACAGGCTTGATACAATTGTACGATCAGGTGACAAAGATTAAGCAAGAAAGAGAAGGATGGGCGGACAGCATTTTTTGGATGGTCGGAAAGCCTTTGACACAATACCGCATAAAAGGTTGATGCATAAGCTGGAGAAACTGGCAGGAGTAACTGCTAGGGCGCTCCAGTGGATAAGGGAGTACCTAAGCAATAGGAAGCAGAGAGTTACAGTGAGGGGTGAGACCTCAGATTGGCGTGAAGTCATCAGTGGAGTCCCACAAGACTCTATACTCTAATCTATCCTGTTTCAGATATACGTAAATGATCTCCCAAAGGGTATAGACTCATTCCTTTCAATGTTTGCTGACGACGCCTAAATTATGAAAAACATTAAGACAGAAGACAGCTTGAGGCTTCAAGAAGACCTAGACAAGCTGCAGGAATGGTCGAACAAATGGTTGTTAGAGTTTAACC